GGAGTTTGAGACCAGCCTGACCAACATAGTAAAGCCCTGTCTCTACTAAAAATACAAAAATTAGCTGGGTGTGGTGGTGGGCACCTGTAATCGCAGCTACTCAGGAGGCTGAGGCAAGATAATCACTTGAACCCGGGAGGCAGAGGTTGCAGTGAGCAGAGACTATATCGCTGCACTCCAGCCTAGGCAATAGAGCAAGACTCCGTCTCAGAAAAATAAATAAATAAATAAATAAATTTAAGAAAATATTGAAATGGATGAACAAAAGGTAAATGAATGACTATCATAGCATTTCCACAATAATCATCATCATCAGGAAAGAGACAAAATCAAACTACCTAAATATCCAGCAACTGGCAGAATCAAGTAAATAAACTATGACAAAACCATGTGATTGAATACTATCAAACCACTGAAAGAAAAACACTATACAAATCTATAGATATAGCTATAGGTGATGATTCCTGATTTATTAACTGAAAAAAGTCACAAAACAGGAAGTGTTATATGACCATTTTTGTAAAAATAAAATACACTTACAAACAAATTTTTAAAATATGAAAAGATGTACATCCTAATGTTAAAAAAGAGTTAACATTTGATTGGATTGTTGATTATAAATATCATATGTAAATGATTATACGATGGTTTATAATATGAATTGGGTATCTCGCTATAGATGATTTCTGTACTTTCAAAAAATAATATAGTGTAAAACCTAATTGTATATTCATATATATTTTGTACAAAGAACACGTATATTTTTAGTCAGAACAAAAGTTTCTAAACCTAAGGTATAATACAGTAACAGTGATTCAACAGGCATTCCTTTCAGTAATGGGAATATAGCACCTTCTGTGTGTTGGGCCTGAGCTGCACTAGAGCAGGCAAAGCTAATGGGAGGGGTTTCCTGCTCTCAAGGCCCAGACTAGAAGGTTGTGAGAGCAGAGGGTCACCCACCGGAGCATGGGGAAACGTGGATGGGCAGCAGAGAGATGCACAGAGTGTCATTGAAGCTGTACCTTAAAGAATGAGGAAGAGTTTCCTAGATGGTATGGGAAAGGCTGTGAAGGTTGTCCAGGCAAGGGCAACAAGATCAGCGTCTCAAGAAAAAAACAGAAAGGTCAGGGCTGCAGATGGATGTGCAGTTTGCACTGCAGAAAGCTACCTGCTGAGGAAGGAGGAGTGGGGCGGATATGCAGGACAGGCTTCACTTGCCAAGTTATACATCCCAGTTGCAACCACCCTAAGAAGTATCCACTCCCCCTCTTTTTTCTTTTCTTTTTTTTAATAGAGGAAGGGGACTTTTGTTTCTGCAAGCACCTTCTGCTTGTGAAGCTGTGGGTCTGGAGGCTTTGTTCACCCAGAGAGGGATACCTTTTCCTATTTACAGAAGGTGCACTGAGGGCTTTGAAACCTCTGTCCAAAAAAGTCCTTAAATCCTGACTTGGGAAAAACCATACCTGACAATGTCTTCCTGAGGATGAAGGAGCCCTGTCACATGCTCTCCAGAGCCATTGTAACGCATGTGATAGGCTTTACATAATAAAAGCCATCACTGCAAGATGCTGGGAAGATGTGGACAGTGTTGCCGAGAAAAAATTAAAATTTGGTAAATTTTTCAGCTTAACAGCATGAATATGTATCAAAAGCCTTTCAAATAAGGATTCCTTTTTACTTTGCAATTCCGCTTTTCAAAAAAAATTTTTTTAATGCATTCTAAAGAATAAGTATAAAAGTTTGAATGTGATTCATTGCAGAAGTTACAATAGTCGAAAAAAAATCCACAATCTTGGTTGGGTGCCCTGGCTCACACCTATAATCCCAACATTTTGGGAGGCTGAGGCAGGTGAATCATTTGAGCCCAGGAGTTTGAGACCAGCCTGGGCAGCATGGCAAAAACCCATCTATGTAAAAAATACAAACATTAGCCAGGCGTGGTGGCGTGCACCTATAGTCCCCACTACCAGGAAGCTGAGGTGGGAGGATCACCTGAGCCCAGGAGGTCAAGGCTGCAGTAAACCAAGATTGTGCCACTGCACTCCAGACTGGGTGACAGAGCAAGACCCTGTCTCAAAAAACAAACCACAATCTTTTGTTTTGTTAAGAACAGTTGGTTGGTTCAATAAAGTACAATATCTCTGTATTAGGAAATACTAAACTAGGCAGCAGTTAAAAATCATGTTTTAGGCCGGGCACGGTAGCTCACGTCTGTAATACCAGCCCTTTGGGAGGCCAAGGTGGCAGATCATCTGAGGTCAAGAGATTGAGACCAGCCTGGCCAACATGGCGAAACCCCATCTCTACTAAAAGTACGAAAATTAGCTGGGCATGGTGGCACTCGCCTGGGAGCTACTCGGGAGGCTTAGGCAGGAGAATCGCTTGAACCCAGGAGGCAGACATTGCAGTGAGCCAAGATCGTGCCATTGCACTCCAGCCTGGGTGACAGAGCAAGACTCCATCTGAAAAAAAAAAAAAAAATCATGTTTTAGAGCTGATTCATTCCCAGACTAGGTGAAGTACCTCTGCAACAGCATCCTAAGCACTGTGCTTCTCCTGTGTTTGCACTGAGCAGACTTTATTGCTATGGCTTACTGAATTGTGTATCCTCCTTGCAGACAGAGACCACGTACCTTTTGCTCACCATTTGTCCTCAATGCCTAGCACAGTGTCTTACGTATAGTAAGTAGTTCCTTTATCAAGGTTTAGTCAATGAATGAATTACTAGATATGCCAACAGATTAAGAAAGCTATTTTTTTGATATTTAAAATGTTTACTTCTTTATACTTTTTTACATGTTCCAAATTTTCTACAATGGCCCTAGTATAATTTTGTAATCAAAAGAGAACATATTATTTTTAAAATTTGTAACTCAGCAGCCTGCCACAAAGTATCTGGAGTCCAGTTTTTAATATGAGACTTCTGTTTGGCTCTGCCCTACTTTAGCAAATCTATTAACTATTCAAGTATTACACAGGATAAAAGGTGATTATTCTCAATGCAAAAGGGTTTATCAAAGGGGTTCATTACATTATAAATTATCCTAGGATATATAAATGTTGATATGATTTTCAAAATATTCCGTCCAGACCTGGCCTGTAATCCCAGTAATCTGGGAGGCCAAGGCGGGCAGATCGCTTGAGGGCAGGAGTTCGAGACCTGCCTGGCCAACACGGTGAAACCCTGTCTCTCCTAAAAATACAAAAATTAGCAGGTCGTGGTGGCGTGTGCCTGTAGTCCCAGCTCCTTGGGAGGCGGAGGCCGGAGAATCTCTTGAACCCGGAAAGCGGAAGTTGCAATGAGCCAAGATTGTGCCACTGCACTCCAGCCTGGGTGACAAGAGTGAAATTTCATCTCAAAATAATAATAATTATTGTATATATATACATGTTCCATCGATATGCTAATTTTCCAAGACAAATATTCAAGGAAGCTTCAGTGGCTTAATTTTATTTTGTGAATTGTTACTCTTTGGAAATCTTCATCCTCCTAATCCAAGCAGGTCATTTTACCCAGTGCAGGATGGCAGCAGGTATTTTTATGATCATTCGAGATTTACAATTTGCTTCTTTTTAAAGTAAAAACTCTCTGGTTCTTCCTGGTAATTTTTTTTAAGTTTTTTCCTAAAAGGTTACATCTAGATATTCTTAGCCAGGACCATTTCATAAACGGAAAACACAAAACCAGACATAGTTTTAGGTCCTCAACTGTTTCATCCTATGGCTCAACTATCCTCTGGGCCCTAATGGCACACATTTCTGTCTCCTCATTTTCTTTTGCAGAGTCCTCGTGCATGGAGAAAAATATTTAGGTAATCAAAGTTACTCATCTGAATCCACGGCTTTGGGACTCCTTCCTAGTTTATGGGTGGTCAGTGTCTGCCTAGTTAGCACCCCTCTCAAACACAGACACATGCTCCATAATTATAAATTGTCCTGTGTTCTCTCCAGACAAGAATCCCATGGTTCAGTTTTTCTCTCACTCCAAACGAAACTGATGTGCCCAGCATTCCTCTTATTCATGTCTTAGTACAAAAACTTAGTAAAAAAAATGACATGGCATAGGGTTTGTAGTGGTTTACAGGTTCCTGTGGGTAGACGTCAGGCTTGCTTTTTAGCACCAGGGTAACATAATACCCTCCCATAAGGTTGTAATTTCAATGGCGGTCATTTCATGAGTGCTTTAATAGTTTTGGTTCTATATGTTATAGCAACTGTCTTCTAGTAACCACTATCCAACCCACGATCCCGTTCTAGTGCCCCCAGGAAGCTGTGGATGAAAGGGAGAATGCTAACAACCCAAGGAGGAGTCCCTTTGCTTTCCAAGTCCCTGGATTAGCTGTGAACCAAGACGAGAATGGGCTTTAATAATCCCGTATCTTTCCACAAAGATAATTTTTTTTATGACTTGTCACCCTTGTCCCCAGAAACTCATGGTTTCCATAGGCTACTTAAAAATTGATTATGCAATGGGCCTCAAGTGTCCATTACAATCACCTGTGGAGCTTTTACAAGCTTCAAACGACTGGTCTCCTACCCGAGAGTTCTGGTTTACAAATCAGGGAAAGGGGAGAGTCATGTAGACTGATTTTTTAAAAATGTTTCCCAAATGATTCTGATGCACACCCCAACTCACAGTGACCCTGCCAGCTGCCAGATCTCCACTGACATCCCCTGACCCCCAGGCAGGGTGAACACAAGTTAGGAACTTGATAAGTCGGGGAGGAGCTGGCCTTAAGGAAAGAAACATGAGAAACAGATACTCTGAACACCTCCCAGGGCGGGGCCACCTGGCTTACTTTTCCTCTACACTTTCTCTGTGCCCAAGGACACTTTTAGCCTCATTTCCTGATTGAACAGCCTTACTTGTGTTGCTGTCAGTGCCAGTAGGGCAGGCAGGAATGCAGCAGACAGGACTTGCCATCATGGCCTTGGCTGTCTGTGCAGCCCTACATGCCTCAGAAGGTGAGTGGGGGCACTGGCCACTTAGGCCTCCACTGGAAGGGTGGTATCTCCCAAATCTGTGCTGGAAGGATTGAGGTGGGGCAAGAATAGCTATCTCTTCAAGCAGGAATTTCCAATTGATTTCTGATTACCTACCAGGGAATGACATAGGTTTAAATTCTAGATCTCCCATTAGTTTCAGGAAGGAACCTCATTCTAACAGGCATACTAGAAATTTTTGCCACCTGCAGGATGAGGTCCTTCCATATAGGTGCAACTTCGGGCTATATTTCCTTTTCTGATGACGGTATCTTAGAAAATCCCCAGCTAGAAGCTGGAGTAAAGCTCCTACTATTCATCTGTCTTCCTCCACACCCCAACCTGCTAAATTGTCTGAACACAAGTGTGCACATTCCTGGAGGGAAAGACAGACTTGGCCAGCTGCGTTCAAATTAGGTAAGTTGTAAATTTCCTGAGCAAAGTCAGCCCTATGGATACAAAAAACGTAAACTTCAGTCTGATCTTTAAAAAGGGAGGGCAGAGCTGAGCACAGTGGTGCATGCCTGTATTCCCAGCTACTCGGGAGGCTACAGCTGGAGGATAGCTTCAGGCCAGGAATTCGAGATTGCAGTGAGCTATGATCGCACTGTGGATTGCCACTGCACTCCAGCCTGGGCAACATAGTAAAGCCCCATCTCTTAAAAACAAAAAGAGGGGAGGGGAGGGGAGAGGGAAGGAAAGGAAGAAAGGAAAGAAAAGTAAAAGAAGGATGAGGGAGATTGAACCCTACAAATTATGTCAAAGAGAATTTAAATTGTGAGTTGCTAGCATGTATATGGAGACAGGAACTGCATTTGAACTAGAGGGAATCTCTTCTAAAGTAGCACTCACTACTATATTCAGGAAACCCTAAGTGTCAGTACTTAACACTTGACCAATGGCTCTTTTCCATTGTCATCTTTTCTTTAAGCTTTATCCTGAACAGATTCTCTAAGTCTAGAGCAAAGGCGGAATATAAGTCTTCTTTGGTCTGCTTTTTACAAATTTGAGCCAACATTTTAAAACTGAAAGCTTTCTCATATACATATTCATACATACACACATACAAATTGGATTTTAAAGCTTCTCTTGAAAAATCAGATGTGGCAACAATGATTCTACCATACCGAGGCAAGAACTGGCTAAAGCAGATGAGCCTCTGAAGTTTGCTGTATTAACTGCCTAGTCCCTGCAGACATTTGCTTAGGGACTCCAATATAGTCCATCAATGTACTGGGCTTATACAAATAAGCGACAGAAAAAAACTGGACAGTCTCTTCTCAATTTCTACTAATCTATCTTATCAAGATAAAGACAAAAATTTGTCACTTTATGTTTCTGTAACATTTCTCAGAAAAATTCACGACTGAGATTTTGGGACTCATTTTCACTATTTCTGAAAGGTCTACCTGCTAAGGGTTCACTCCTAGTTCTGGTAATTCCACTAACTCAAATTTTTTACATAAAACTTTGAAATGTGTGCCTCTATCCAGCTTCCTGACCTACTCCCACCTGTCCCCGCAGCAGCAGCTCTCCTACAGGAAAGAAGGGAGGGAACAGTGGGTCGAGGAGGCAGAGTGTAATGAGGAAGGCTCTGCCATACCCAGGACCCAAGTTCACATGGGACTGAGTCCTGGTAGAGACGGTGGAGTGGGAAGGCAAAATGCAGAGGCGTGTGAAAAGGTATGGTTGCTGGCGATGATAAAGAAAGGGAGCCGAGAGACCTAGCAATACCTTTTTGGCTTAGTCTCGATGCTTTACCTAAGGCAGTTTAGGCCACAGGAAAATCACATTGTCTGAGAAGCTCCAACCTTCTGCCATTTAAAAAGAAGTGATACTGGGTAAAAATACACATGTAGTCCTGAGAACAGTTGTGGAACAGAGGGGCAACACCACAGCTATTCTTAGCAAACTTCCACTCAAGTGTCCATGTAAGCCAGGTGCCCTGTGGAAGGCACTTAAGTGATTCTGGGTCCAGGGAAGGGGTGGAAAACCAAGTGGGGAGGGAGGAAGGTAGAGAACACTCAACAACTCAACAGTGCAGAGAAAAGGACAGGTGGCCTTGGCAAGGGGAATAGGGAAATGGCCTGTGCCAGTTTGGAACTTTGGGAAATATATTTTGTTTTCTTCAGGCAGAAAGCTGTTCCTTATCTTAATAGTGTCTTAAATGGCTAACTTGTTGTGATGGCTCAATAACTGGCATTCCCAAAGTGTTTTGCATAAATCAGGAAGCAGGTGACTTTATCTATAATTAAAAGCCTTGGATTCTGCCCAAAGGTAGGGCACACTCCACCTCTGCTGACGTGGCTGCTGGCTCCCAGAACTCAATACTGAATCCATAAACATGTCTTTCATCCTGTTTCAGTGGCCCTGAGCCTGATTATTTAAACCCACAATCTAGGGCTTTGTGGACTTGGCTGTTTTATTGTACATTAAGATCAAGGCTCACTTGTGCCCAGCAGATTCAAGTTAGGAGGTTTTGCTGCAGTGAGGCCCAAATTGTCTTCCCACTGACAACCTTCTTTCTCAGAGTACGATGGCTACTGAATCACACCAATACTTGCTAGAGATTTGCTGCTTGTATCCTAAAATATTTACTTTTGTTTTAATCATAAGACACTGGCTAGGGAAGATTACCAGGAATATACATTTGTGACTCAGTGTTGTTCTGCACAACTGGGACTCTCCAATTGTGGTCTCTAAGAGGTCTGACATAGGTGGGACTACAGGTGCATGCCACCACACCTGGCTAATTTTTTGTTTGTTTTTGGAGATGGAGTTTGTTGCTCTTGTCGCCTAGGCCAGGCTGGAGTGCAGTGGGGCGATCTCGGCTAACTGCAACCTCCGTCTCCTGGGTTCAAGCAATTCTCCTGCCTCATCCTCCTGAGTAGCTGGGATTAGAGGCTTGCACCATCACACCCAGCTAATTTTTGTATTTTTAGTAGAGACAGGGTTTCACCATGTTGCCCAGGCTGGTCTCAAACTCCTGACCTCAGATGATCCACCCACCCTGGCCTCCCAAACTCCTGGGATTACAGATGTGAGCCACCTGCCCAGCCACACCTGGCTAATTAAAAAAAATTTTTTTTTGTAGAGATAGAGTCTCACTATGTTGCCCAGACTGGTCTCGAACTCCTGGCCTTAAGTGATTCTCCTTCCTTGGCCTCCCTGCCTGTAATCCCAGCACTTTGGGAGACTGAGGCAGAAAGATTGCTTGAGCGCGGGAGTTCCAGGCTGCAGTGAGTCATGATCGCACCACTGAACTCCAGCCTGGGTGACAGAGTGAGACTCTCTATCCCAAAAAAAAAAAAAAAAAGTAAAACTTTACCAAAAAAATAAAATTACCAAAAGGCACAAAAATTAAAGAATTTATCCTAATATTATGAAAGTTACAAATACTTAGTGTATTTTAAAATATAAAAATATAAAGATAAAAAAAGGAAAGTCCCACTTCATCATTCCTTTAATCCCAGAGGGTTCTGTATACCCTTCCAGAATTTCCTCTAGGCATTTAGCAACACAACCCACACATACATCCATACCAATATTTTTTTATCATTATTCTTTAAGATCTAGGGTACATGTGCACAATGTGCAGGTTTGTTACATATGCATACATGTGCCATGTTGGTGTGCTGCATCCATTAACTCGTCATTTACATTAGGTATATCTCCTAATGCTATCCCTCCCCCTCCCCCCAATCCACGACAGGCCCCGGTGTGTGATGTTCCCCACCCTGTGTCCAAGTGTTCTCATTGTTCAATTCCCACCTATGAGTGAGAACATGCAGTGTTTAGTTTTCTGTCCTTGCAATAGTTTGGTCAGAATGATGGTTTCCAGCTGCATCCATGTCCCTACAAAGGACACGAACTCATCCTTTTTTATGGATGCATAGTATTCCATGGTGCATATGTGCCACATTTTCTTAATCCAGTTTATCATTGATGGAAATTTGGCTTGGTTCCAAGTCTTTGCTATTGTGAATAGTGCTGCAATGAACATATGTGTGCATGTGCCTTTATAGCAGCATGATTTATAATCCTTTGGGTATATATCCAGTAATGGGATGGCTGGGTCAAATGGTATTTCTAGTTCTAGATCCTTGAGGAAT